TGTGTGTGTGTGTGTGTGTGTGTGTGTGTGCCAGCCACTTCATTATGTAAACGCTGTAAACACACCGGTTGGAACTCCTTTTGCTTCAAGAACTGATTTAATTCTGGAAGCTGGAAACATGCCTCTAAGATTTTGATCCATATTAAAACATAGACTAAAATCTCTTAGCTAACTAGCATCAGTGATGTGCAGATTTCTCAGCTGCACATCCATCATGCAAATCTCCTCCTTCACCACATCCAAAAGGTGCTCTGTTAGATTAAGATTTGGTGACTGTGGGGCTGTTTGAGTCCTGTGAAGTCACTGTCGTGTTTGAGATGATTTGAGCTTTGTGACATGATGTAATATCCTGTTGAAAAGAGTCATCAGAAGACTGTGGTCATAAAGAAATGGGCACGGTCAGCAACAATACTCAGGTAGGTTGTTGTAACTGTGCTACCAGCATTCTTTCCTGGTCCTGTCATTTCAAGTATTGGAGCAGATATCAAGACTCACTTGGCCAGATAATGTTTTTCCGTTCTTCTGTTTTCCAAATTTGTGAAACAATACACAATGTAGCCTAAGTTTTGATCTGTTTCATGCTTAGATGTTGTTAGTGTTATTAAAGTTATTCGTTGCCTTCCTATCAGCTCAAAACAGCTCAAGCCCACTAAAATCACTCTTCACCCTTCTGATGCCCAGTTTAAACTTCAGTAGGTCATGGCTGCGTCTGCATGCCTAAGTGAACCGAGTTGCTGCCATCATATATGTTGATTAAATATTTGCATTAACAAGCAGTTGTACCACATTGTCATCCTTTTTTATTATCTCTTCTTCTTTTATTCGCATTTAAAGAATTTAGTAATTTCTTTTCAGGAAGTGGTATGTTGGTATAGTTTGCTTGCAAATTTTCAAGCTTGGGAATTTAAAATTGAGTTTTAAAATTATTTTTATAACATTAAGAATAACCTATACATGTTGTAAGTCATTTTCCTTCTATTTATAAATTATATTGCTGTTTGGGGTACATATGCACGCAAGCCTGAAGGGAACTTTGCATGATCATTATTATAATTTGATGATTCAATTAAAGTACTTCCCAGATTCAATGTGTTCTGAATTAAAGAAAGGATTGAAGGAATTATTTTAAATTATTAAAAAAGTAACCATGTCTGTTCTTATATTATGGGAAGACATGGAAAACTGGTTTGATACAAAGTGAGATTTCAGAGATGGACTTTGTTTGCTTTTGCTCTTTTGATCCATTACTATTTCTGGCTAAAGTCTACTTCATTGGTAAAACTCAGTTTTCCTGAGATCCACTCTAGATAAGAATCACAAATTTTATTATTATTATTATTAAATATAAAATGCATGTTCTACAACACTTAGGTTGGTCCACATAAAGCTCACATTCTGCACCGAAGTAAAAACAAAAATTATAGTAATGTGATTCAGTTGATTAAACTAAATAAATCCAGATATAAAACCTAAATAATGAATCTTTTAATTTATTCTTGAATATATTTCTGAGCCTCACAATGTTTGTTTTACAGCCCTGAAAGTGACAACTCAAAGGCAGTGTGGGAAATCCAAATAAAACATTTAAGACCAAAACTTGTTTTGGCGATGTGGCTTGCATGTACAACTCTGCCTAGTGGTTTGGCAGAACATTGGCTGCACATTAAAACATTGAAAACAAATGAATAAATAAGTCCTTGCCAAACTGGGATTTAATCTGCTGCTGTGAATCTTGGCATCGCATCTGTATTTTTTGGAGATTTGGCTGAGATTTGGATATTTTGCTGTGACTGCACATTTCCTATCAGTCTTTTAGCTTTCTTTTTCTCTTCACTGTCTCAAGCCTCTTTGGTCCTGTTTAAAAAAATCACTCCCATCTCTCATGAAGTTGTCAGCCTTTCTCTTTTTATCTTTCCTGTGCCCTTCTCTCTTAGCTAATTAGCATCAATGCATGTGGTCTCGTTTGCCATTAATAAGGAGAAAACACAAAGCAGGTGGTGTCAGCTTAAACTAATCTGACATTTATTGGTCACAGGTGTATAAGTTACAACATACAGTTTGACTAATCAAGGATTTTTACGTGTAGCATCTTTTATGAATTAAGCAAAGCACACCATCAGGGAATGCTCTTGAGAGTAACTAAGCTTTTTTATAAATGAGGATCTGACGCTTTAACCCGAGGCCTCAGTTCAAAACGTCACCACGTCAAAACCCACAGTGGTGCTATTAACATGACTTAAGATTCGACTTTGACTGTGCCAGTTGGTTTTTCTGTGTTTCAGGAGATGGGAACCCTAAAGAGAGCAGTCCTTTCATCAACAGCAGTGCAGCCACTAACATGGATAAGAGCCAGCAGTATGATGGCAATAATATGGCTCTGTTTGAGGTGGGCGCACTCTTCACTGCCCTGTAATATAGGTTGCTGTCCTTAATTGTTATTATTAAGGAAATGTGACTGTATATGCTTTTAAGTTGAACTTTGCCTATATTTGTACTGCACTGCAGGAAGAGATGGATACCAGTCCCATGGTTTCCTCTCTGCTCAGCACTCTGGCTAACTACTCCAACCTGCCAACGGGCAGCAAAGAGCACGAAGAGGCTGAGAATAATGAGGACGGGTCACGTCCATCTAAAAAACCTGTCAAGGTACAGTATGTTATATATGTGACCCATTTAACCTCACTCTGCAGCAACAAAAACAGGTGTAAAAGTGTCAAAATACTATCATATAATATGATTAGAAAATATCATAAAACAGGGAATTCTTTACTATTTATACCTATAATGTCAAACTCCCTACATGTAATTTGAAAATAATTAATATATGTCAAATCAAATGTATCTAATAATTTTATATTAAAAAATCCAAATCCTATAATATAGGACATAATAAAGGATATTTTTATTATGACCACACCTGTTTTTTCAGGTTGTCCAAATTTAAAAATGTAAAAACATAAAAAATTTAAAAATAAAAACGTTTAGAGAATTAAATACAGGCTGGTGAAATCACATGGTAAATGAAATTGGGAGTTCTCATAACCATTTTTATTACAATAGTAATGTTTAAATATAAGTGACTATAATTTATTAATTTAAATTATCAGTAAAAGTTCATAATAGAGTCAATATTTTTCTACTTTCTTAAATTTATTCCAAATCTGCTTCAAGTGTTGCGTCACTCAACACCTCATAAAAGAACAGTATTGTTTTGTTGCAGTTTGAACACAGGAAATAAGCTTTAAATTGCATCCAAACCTTTATCATCATTTTATGGAAGATTGGAAAAGAAAGCATCAAAGACAGTTTTTAACACCAGAGATGAAATTTACTACATTAAATTATAATGTAGTAAATTTATGTTTACCTACAAATGTTTAAAGGTACCCATATGGAAAAGAAATAGTAAAAACCTATATGATTTACTCTGACAATTATGGTGTAAGTAAATTTACGGACTGCATAAATCATTTTAGTTAGTGTGTAATTTCATAGCAATTTTGCAAAGACACAAACAGTATTTCCTCATCTTTTAAAAATGCTGCACTTTTTAGAACCATATTACGGAGTCGATTAACCTTGCCTTTTTACATCTTTATCTAATATTCATTATGCTGCAGTTGTTAGTCGATTGTCCTTTTATTGTACTTGCATAAATTTGATAAGGACTGTTCTCCTTACAAGGAAAAATAAATGCCATTAAACTTTGCAGGTCTATGTGACATTACAATGATGTAGCGAAGTCTACGTTCATATTTATTTATTTCACAATCACCGTTTAAACCTAACTTTCAAAAGAAGTATACAGAAAAGGAGTGTCTTCTCTTCCTAAGATCATATGGGCCAAAAAGTACACTTACAATATAAGTCAGGGAAACATTGTTTGTTTTTCTTAAAATCACTTATGCAATACTTAAATTTACTTACATTATAATTATTTGTTTCCTGTTTAAACCTGACTTGTTGCCCTCTATTGTAGTGTAAGTTCAAATATTTGTAGGTAGATATAATTACAGGTGTGGGATGAATTATGGAGTGTTACTTTTTTCAAAAGCTGTTTTTCTTACAATAAATGCAATAACAGAATGACTGAACAACAAAGTAATAACTGACTTATTAGCCAGAAAAAAGGGAGTTAGTGCACTTTGTATCATAAAGTTTTTAATTTGTTATTTTGTTTTGTGTATTTTCCAGGCACCTCAGCTGGGCACTCTAATGGGAGTGTACTTGCCGTGTATCCAGAATATTTTTGGGGTAATCCTCTTCCTGCGGATGACATGGATGGTTGGGATTGGAGGCGTCTTTGGCTCGTTTATAATCGTCTTCATGTGTTGTTCTACAGTGAGTAAAACTGCAGGATTTCCTACTGTGGGGGCGCCCTGAGCCTCGCCGATCTGACTGCTGGCTGTTCAGCGTTCAAGATTAATCAGTCAACTAAAGGCACTCAGCCTATCAATCTGGAAAAAGAGTGGTTTTGCAAACATTTACAACTGATCACCGAGATATCACAACTCTAACATCAATGACAGGAAAATACCGAATACCTCCTTACTGTGCATCCAACTGTTGGGAACTATTCATGTGGATATTTGTCACATGCAACCTACCTAAACATTGTGGCAGACCTATAGATTGTATAGAAAAGATGAATGCAGCCATCGCCGGTTGTTATCATACTGTTTGTTTGGAGCCAAGCTAATTAGTAACAGTAACAAACTACAAATAGCAGAATTCAACTCACCAAAAGTTTAGTGCAGTGTCTGTACCACAGAGAAAGCAATATTAGCCGTAAAATAGTTCCACTCAAAAAGCTCTAGAAGGCACTAACACCACAAAAGTTGATGGCTACAACTGAAAAATCACACTAGTCAGATATTTTATATAATAATTCAGTCATTATAAGGAGGGAAACAATGTTTGGAGGCCCAAAACAATGTTTAAATGTTTAAAACAAAGTTTTAAACATTTTTTAATATGTAAGTCTGTGAGAACTGACTGGGACCCAGCCTCAAGTGGCCAATACTGGAACTGCAGATTCTGGTCTTTCAGGCGGAGATTCTGCTACTTGTGCAGACCAAGCAGATGCCATGTCTATGTCCAGGGGGGAGCTAGCAAAATATTAGGCAGGTGGCTTTAATATTGTTTCTGATCAGTGTACAACAGGCTGTGTGAATGTGATTTTCATTGTGCAGCTGCTGAAGGTGACATAGTAAATCCTGATAAACGGCATTCTGCCAGTAAACCCACTAACAGGCTTTCAGCACCATATTTCTCCCTGTATGTGGGCTTAATCAACAAAGGGGCTTAAAATGTATTACATGAAATGTTTTTCAAAAAAATTAGAGAAAGAAAAAGGGAAACAAGTCTTTTAAGTAAGGGAAGACACTGACCGTTGGAATCTTACTATAATTAGTTTGTGTCTAAAAATAAGGTTTAACAAACCTAAATTGATGGCTTGTCTGATTTTTGCCAGCACTTTGTTGGAAGTTTCAGGGGCGTTAAAAGGACATGTCTGGATTTCATTTGATTTCACCCACACTGACATCACTAACAGATCATGTCTGGGCTTTATAAGTATAACCTCGGACTACTAGTTGCTGTAGTAGTATGCTGTTAAACTCAAATATTAAAGAGTTAAACTACAGACAAGTACCATAAAATTGTGTATCTAACTACCGTGCTCTGCTGTAACAGACTGTAGCTGAAGTGACAGCATGTGCCTAACCAGTCATTCCTGTGAGGAATGGTTCGACATGACCAGATGAGTCAGACTTTTGTGCTGCTGGATGTTTTCTCTACCATCCCCTCATTTCATCAGAGCCTCCCTGTCAGCCTTCCTTAATTTGACTTGCCCACCTGCTGCCTTTCAGAGTCCTGTAATCCCCCCCTGTTGTCTGCTGCTGTTTTCAGACCATGCTCACAGCCATCTCCATGAGTGCCATTGCGACAAATGGAGTTGTACCAGGTGAGTAGATATCAGAGGGCATGCATTAGTAAGTTTGTGTGCAACAGAGCGGTGCACTGAGCCCTGTGTGTGTTTGCGACTCACAGCTGGAGGCTCGTATTACATGATCTCTCGCTCTCTGGGGCCCGAGTTTGGCGGTGCTGTCGGAATCTGCTTCTACTTGGGCACCACTTTTGCGGGTGCTATGTACATTCTCGGCTGTATTGAAATTCTGCTGGTAAGTCGATTGAATTTTTAAATGACAGGTTTATATTGCTTTTCATGTTTTTCTTATATGCCTGCAATATAATAACAGGAAAAGCACATCTGGAGATAATAAAGGCTGAATTCCAGTTATGTTAGTTTTGGGGTCCTGTTACTGGTTCGGTCTTGTAGTTAATGTGTTAGTTAAGTGAAAGAGATCCATTATTATTTTTTATAGATGTATTTTGGCCTTTATTATTTTTATGACAGGACATGAGAGCAGACAGGTAAAGCAGGAAAGAGAACAGAGGAAATGACATCCAGGAAATTGTTCAGTGGGAAATCTGGGCCCCTGCAGAAGCATTTCAGCATATGAGCTGCCCGCTCAAACCACTGAACTCTATCTGTACCCCACATGTTGTTAATTTGGTTGTTTACACCTGTGATCTTCCGGCTAAATTGTCTTCAAACATTGGCTGTAAAACAGGAATCATTAGCGCACAACATGTTCCAATAAATGATAATGAAAGGATACCAGGCAAGAAGGGGACAAGGGGGGGAAAAGCAAGGTTACTCTCCCACTTTAAACTAAATAACTCACATTCACACAGTACAGTAATTTTTAACCCAGTGAACTTTTTTTTAATGTGTTAATTAATTTTATTCTCATTGCTTTAGTGTGTTTTCTTTTCTTTATTTCCATTATTATGAAAATGATACAAATGTGCTTTGGCGAGGTAAATTGCATTTTAAAAAAATAATGCAATTGAGGAGATTTGGTGACATTTTCCTGTTTCTGCATAGCAGCTGACTGACTTTTTGCCAAACTGACAGATGATGTGATTTCTCAGGAAAAAAAACATAAACCTATAAACACCGACTAGCCTCATGGCAAAGATTTAACAAGATGCTGTGAACATTTCTTTGAGATTTTGGTCCATATTGATATCACACCATCGCACAGTTGCTGCTGATTTCTTAGCTGCACATCCAGGATCCAAATCCGTTCCACCACATCGCAAAGAGTCCAAACAGTTTGAGATTTAAGTCTTCTGAGATCCTGCTGGACACAGCAATCAGACAATGGAAACACTATCATCATTTATGATGTGACACGGTCCATTCATTTACTAAAGTGTGTCGAAAAATACTTGCACTATTACAGCACCGCCAGCAGCGGCAGCAGCAGCCTGAACTTTAATACAGGGCAGGTTGGATTGATGTTTGCATGTTGCTTTCATGTTGCCCAATTCTGACCCTAAGATCTCAATGTTGCAGAATAAATCAAGACTCATCAGACCAAGCAGTGTTTTTCCAGTATTGTCCAAGTTTTCAGTTTCCTGTTCTTAGCCGACAGGAGGAGAAGAGACACCTGTTGTGAAGCAGTTCAAAAGTCACTTAAATCACCATATGTCCCCATTCCGATGCTTAGTTTGAGCTTCAGCAGCCCATCTTGGCCATACCTACATGTCTCAATGCACTGAGCTACTGTCATGTGATTGGCTGATAACATATTCGTGTTAATACACAGTCACCAGGTGTACGTAATTAAGTATTTATAACATTATAATGATAATGTTTTGCTTTTTTAGAACTAAAAGGATAAATAATAAAATGTGTTTTTGTATATCACATGACGTTGTTTTTTTATTAACAAAAAAATAATTTGCATAAACATATTTATATGTAGATTCTCTACAATACTTCTGCAAACTTTGTCTTATTCTTCTCACCCACTCTAACCCTGTCTTCCTCCACTAATTTGTCTCTTTCAGATTTATATTGTTCCCCAGGCAGCCATCTTTAAGATTGAGGGCCTGGAGGGCCCCGAAGCAGAAGCAGCATTGCTCAACAACATGCGAGTGTACGGCACTATTGTGCTGAGCTTGATGGCACTGGTGGTGTTTGTGGGGGTCAAATATGTCAATAAGTTGGCACTGGTCTTCCTGGCCTGTGTCATACTTTCTATTCTGTCTGTCTATGCTGGAGTCATCAAGACTGCCATTGACCCCCCTGTGTTTCCGTAAGTGACTCTTTATTCACTGGTACAAATCCATAATGATGTCGAATTATCCTACGTGACAGGTATGCCCTGGGCTGGTTGTCTTTGCAGTGTCTGTCTGCTGGGAAATCGAACTCTTCTTTCTAAAGGATATGATGTCTGCGCAAAGGTCATTGAGATAGACAACGAGACTGTCACCACCAAACTGTGGAGGAGCTTTTGTGATTCGGAGTACCTCAATGCCACTTGTGACGAATACTTCAACAATAACAATGTTACAGAGATACAAGGTATTCCAGGGGTCACTAGTGGCATCCTGGCAGGTACATTTTTCAGTGTAAACCACCTTCTGTTGGGTTCTTGGCCAATCACAGTTCAGTATGTATTAAAGATTAAATTCCTAAACTTGGTCTCTCTTTCTCTCAGAGAACCTGTTTGGTAACTATCTGGAGAAAGGGATGATTCTGGAAAAGCGTGGACTTGTATCCGACGTGGATCCAGACAGTCCCACAACGAGCTCAAACCGCTACGTTCTAGCAGATATCACCAGCTTCTTCACTCTGCTGGTGGGAATTTATTTCCCATCTGTCACAGGTTAGTCCCAGGAAGGCACGCTAAAGAGGTCCATTATGCTTTGTTTTTTTGTTTGTTGTTTTGTTTGTTTGTCTGTGTTTTTTATCATAGGTGTCTGGAAAACTCCTCTAACTCGGGTCAAATAACTGCATGTAATATGCACCAGACCCTGCAGTTCTCCTAATGCCTGCTCGGAAATGTTAGAAATTGTTTTGGCTTTGTCTAACCACTTTAACCACTTTCCTGCTTAGCAGACAGCAGTTTCTACTTAGACAGTTTACTTTGTTTTCAGGTGTGAGAGATGGTGGTTGCAAATAAATGTTAATGGGGGTTTTTTTATGCTCGCCGGATGTATGAATGGGAAAATATTTGCTTACAAGTTCTCCGTGCCAGTTTGTTGTTGTTTTTTGGTGACCTGTCAGTCTCGAGTTCACCGTTTGTTTTTGCTGCCCTCCAGTGGCCAAAGAAAACAGCACCTTTAACATGACTGAAGTCAGTAAAGTGCTTAGTATTCCGTAAAGGTGGAAGTTAGTAATTACCCTTCTCATACTCTGTTTTATGTACATATATCATTTATATCCTCTGAAAACCTGAGTCTGATTATTATAATATTATCAAGTCACAACTCTCCCGATTATTTAACCTTCTGCTCAAAGGTATCATGGCTGGCTCCAACCGCTCCGGAGATCTGCGTGACGCTCAGAAGTCAATCCCTATCGGCACCATCGCAGCCATTAGCACCACGTCAACTGTGTGTATCCTTCAGTGAACCAAGGCCGGTTAAAAATAAACATTAATATAACTTTTCTACCTTTTCGGTCGTGTGGTCCTTATCAGCTTTTTTTACCCAGACATGTCCTGTGTGGTGCTGTTTGGTGCTTGTATAGAAGGAGTCGTCCTAAGAGACAAGTAATTCTACTTCTATTAAATTAAATTTTGGACCGTTATACTCAGAAAATATTTGTAGTTTGAGGTTTGTGCCTTAATATTATTGCAAACTGGGCACATGTGTGACAGCAAAATGTTTGACAGGCCCAATAAAAAGTCAGAAAGGAAGAATGTAGGGAATTACAGACCTCCACAGGTTGCTAACAATTTTAACAAATGTGTAGCTTCAGTTTAATAATAATGCATTTCACTATGTGCAGCAATAAGTGAGTACATTACACTTTACAAAATTAAACATTTAGCACAGCTTCAGACTGCTTGCAGTTGTGTTTATCTGAGGAGTTATTTTCAGTAAAAATCAGAAACACTGAATCACAGCTGAGTCTAAAACGATGCTCTCAGTCATCTGTTAGCAGAACTCAGCTGTTCACTGTTTGTACCTGACTGAGCACAGGTCGGTCGAACATTTGCATTCACTGTGTTAACGCAGGAGCTCTGTCTTCATGTTCCTGCAGGTTTGGCGAAGGGGTCAGTGGCAACCTTGTAATAGGTACGCTGGCATGGCCGTCCCCGTGGGTTATTGTATTTGGCTCCTTCTTCTCCACCTGCGGAGCGGGACTTCAGAGTCTGACAGGAGCTCCCCGTCTCCTCCAGGCCATCTCAAGGGATGGCATCATCCCCTTCCTTAGAGTGAGTACACAAATCTATCTCTGTCTTAAATACAGACCTCTCAGAGCTTCCAACTGAGCCAGAAATGTTGTGGGGACTTGAAGATATTCTTGTCCCCACTCTAGGCTGTTATAGTTGACTAAAACTAAACAAAAAACTGAAACTAGATGTGAAAAACATTTTAGTTAACTGAAATAAAAAAATTAAAACTAACTGACACTATTTTGTGAACTTGTGAAAACTGACAACTAGACATATTTATTGAAACCGAAACATATCCTTCATACAACAATAATTTATAACAACTAAAACTAAGACTTAATCTAAAAGAAACTAAACTCAAACTAAAACTGAAGACACAATTATTAATAATTGGTAAATATGACATTATTTATTTGTATGTCACTTGTGTTGTTGCAGATCTTTGGGCACGGTAAAGCCAACGGGGAACCCACGTGGGCACTTCTACTCACAGCTAGCATCTGTGAGATTGGCATCATCATTGCCTCTCTGGATTCAGTCGCACCAATCCTCTCCATGTATTGCTCACCGATAAACACAACAACTAAAGCAAAGATCCTTTTTTGTGGTTTTTGTTCTTACTCTTCTGTTTTCTCTCTTTCCCTTCATCTGTTTCTTTAGGTTCTTCTTGATGTGCTACATGTTCGTCAATCTTGCCTGCGCCCTGCAGACGTTGCTGAGGACCCCAAACTGGAGACCCAGATTTAAGTTCTACCACTGGTGAGTTTGTGGGTCAGAGTATGAAAGCTTTCTAAAAACTCTTGCATTTGTTTTATAATCTGAAATTTACATTTACGTTGACATGTACTTTGAGTTTCCACACCAAAATGCATGTTGGTGTTCATTGTGTGTAGCAAATATAAATTTATATCAAAATATATTATTATTTAAAGCTTTGCACATCCTTTTTTAAAATGTATTTTAAATACTGGATCATTTGCAGTCATATTTAAGTTTGCAGTCTTTTTCCTCGGTGCTGTTGCTGACACATTGCTGCTTTTCTTTGCATATTGATATTGCCTGTTGATCATTTTAACACTGAAAACACTGGCAGAGATGTGTATCACATAATGTGTTTATACTTGCAGTAGATGTGATTCAAACATGCATAAAATTCTTTAACTATCCCAAAGATATCATAGATATTCATCACATATGGTGCGAGGATTTAAGCTCTGCTTAAAGCCAGATTCTGGATTTGTGTGTTTGTCTTCCACGATGAGCTTAAAAATTTCTTGTTTCCATTAATCAGCCAGTTGTGTGAAGCTGGCAGAACTCTGGGTTTGACTAAACATGACGTCCTGTCCCCTGCAGGGCTCTGTCTTTCCTGGGTATGAGCTTGTGCTTATCACTCATGTTCATGTGTTCCTGGTATTATGCAATTGTGGCTATGGGCATCGCCACCTGCATCTACAAATACATTGAGTTCTGTGGGTAAGAAATAATAATTTGATCAATGATCATTTGAGAAAGGATTCTTTGATAAAAGTCACAGAGTAGTCAATTTTTTATGAATCTGGATGCTGTAGATATGACCAGAGCTAATAATTTAATGTGCTTTGAGACAGAGCTGAGAAGGAGTGGGGTGATGGGATACGTGGGATCTCGCTCAGCGCTGCTCGCTTTGCTCTGATGAGGCTGGAGGAGGGACCACCACACACAAAGAACTGGAGGTCAGCTCAGTCTATCTTTAATAGAGCTGGTTGGCTTTTGCCTGTGATTATCACTGACTGATTTTGTTTGTTATTAGGCCTCAGATCCTGGTCCTAGTGAGCATGGACGCTGAGCAAAACATCGAGCAGCCTCGTCTTCTATCTCTGACCAATCAGCTAAAAGCTGGGAAGGGTCTGACTATTGTTGGCACCTGTGTTCAAGGAACCTTCCTTGACAATTACACTGAAGCTCATAAGGCAGATCAGGTCTGTTACTCTTTAACACACACTTAAACTTCTGACACATGCACAGAAGAATTGCCACTTTCTCTAACAGCTGCGCCTGCCCTCTATCTGTGTCCCTGCAGTCGTTGCGTAAGTTGATGGAGACAGAGAAAGTAAAGGGCTTCACTCAGGTCGTCATCTCCTCCAACCTCAGAGATGGAACATCCCACTTGATTCAGGTTGGAGGACTTGGAGGTCTGAAGCACAACACGGTGATGGTCAGCTGGCCCCGTAACTGGAAACAGCCTGAGTGCCACCAGGAATTTAGGAACTTCATTGGTAAGTTATCAAGTGAAATAGAAGCTCTCTTAGTTGTTAATAAACATCAGCATCAAATATTATACCAAATACCAAATCAGGGGCATTGAAAAAAGTTTGGTAAAAAAGATAGGTAATCCTTTGCTCTGCCCCCCATCGGGTTACTTTTCTCCTGTTCCTCTGTAGAGGTGGTTAGAGAGACAACTATAGCCAGTATAGCCTTGTTGGTTCCTAAGAATATTTCCAGCTATCCATCCAATGGAGAGCGTTTCACTGAAGGCCACATTGACGTGTGGTGGGTTGTCCACGATGGAGGCATGCTAATGCTTCTGCCTTTCCTCTTGCGCCAGCATAAGGTGAGGAACAAGAAACTGTGGACTCTTTTCACTTAAATGAGCACAAGTTAAGTGTGATAGTAGTGTGTTTGGAAAAAAAAAACACTGTCTTCGAGGCACATTGGTTACGTCGTTATCGGGGTTTTTTTCTTGCTATAGGTGTGGAGGAAGTGCAAGATGCGTATTTTCACTGTAGCTCAGATGGATGACAACAGCATCCAGATGAAGAAAGACCTCATCACCTTCCTCTATCACCTGCGCATTGACGCCGTAGTGGAAGTGGTTGAGATGGTGAGAGATTTGTCTGGCACATATTCTGAGTTCACAAACAAATCCTGCCAGGAGCGGCCTAAAAGAACTGTTTCTCGAAGGATCCCTTTTTTTGCCGTTATTCCAAAGTAATACATGGATTTTATGTGACGTGTGCTTTTCCTTTACAGCATGACGGTGACATCTCAGCCTATACCTATGAGAAGACACTGATAATGGAGCAGCGATCACAGATCCTCAAACAAATGCATCTGACCAAGAATGAAATGGAGAGAGAGGTAAGCCAGGAACCTTCATACTATCTGTAACCGGAAAAACAAATTTAATTTTAGCTGCGTTGACAGCCAAAGCACTGTTTCATTATCACTATGGGCATTAAATATCCGCTCTGAGGAAAGGAACTGCTTCATGATGAGGTATCTGTGTCTGTACATGTTTACACTGATTTGCAGATAGAAAAAAATGAACTCCAGTGGGAATATAGGAATCAGATGATGTTTTTTGTTTTTTGTTTTTTCTCACAGATCCAGAGCATTACAGATTCATCCCGTGGGTCCATACGACGTAAAAATCCATCTGCCTTGCGGTCACAGCGAAGCGCTGAGGAGGGAGCTGGTGCAGCAGAAAAACTAGAAGAGGAGGTAAAGCTGATCCAGTGTGTAATGTACAGTACTTCTGTCCTCACTTCCTTCAAACACCTGTTGCATTTTATGCCAGGTTTTAGTTTTTCTAGTTGCTGCTCAATTATTCCTTACAGTTCACTGATCAAAAATCCACCTTTTCTGACAAGCGTCTCTTTTCTCTGTATCACCCGCTCATGTGATGGTGTTTGTCTGTCAGCCTGGGGCCGTCTCCAACCCAAAACAGGTACAACTGAGCCACAGTAAGAATGTCTCCACACCAACCAGCCCCACAAGCCCCACGTCCCCTGCTGCACCTGCAGGTGGTGCTGTCGTCTGGCCCGACAACAAGGGTGCGGAAAAGGAGAGGAGCCTCCTAACAGCAACCTCGGAAGCGGGCAAAGACTTCTTACACATGAAGCCGTGAGTGATCTGTCAGCTTAATTTAGCTCAGCAATCCTGCACAGGAAACAGGCATCGCACCCAGGATAGTAAGATCAGCCAGAGTTTTAAAAGTGACCGTCTAAACTTGTGCAAACATGCTGAGAAAAACAGCTGTGATCCATCAGGGCATGGATGTGTGGCCTCTGGGATGTCTGGCAGCAGGATGTTGGGCCCTCTGGGTCTTGTTGGTCGTGGTGTGGTGTTTCTGTGCAACAGGCTTGTTCTGGCACATCCTCTGAATGTTTAATAGGATCGAGTTTGGAAGAGTTAACGCCAGTATGAGTCACGTTACCAGTGACTGTAATGTTGTAGCTAATCCAAATGACCCACACAGTCATTTGTAAATATTTGTGCGTATCGACCCATGTCACAGGACTTAAAGCAACACTGTGGCAAACAAAACTTTGAACTTAACAGTGACATGAAAAAGAATTAGTTCTGCAGTTTATTCGTCTTCTGTCACATGATCGTTAATCGTGGTGTGAGAGCATTTCTTTCATTTCATCTAATTCATAATTGCACACCAAATTACTGTCATGTTTTGTGTATTTGTAGTTCAGTTAAATTTAATTTATACAGTGTCAGTTGACAACATCACCGTTAGCCTAAGGTGCTTTATATTGTGAGGCATATCCCTTCAGCAATGCTCAGTCACACTAGGGAAAATAGGGGTAATCTTACTGTGAGAGGGTACAATGAAATTGCTATCTTGTTGCCTTTGAAACAGTTGCTTTGAAGAAGAGCACCAGATGTGGCAATCACTCATAACTTCAGGGCCTCACTGATAAAACGGCAATAAGAATGAGTCAGCCTGCTATCAGTTTGCAGTTGACAGGGTTCAAATTTGGAAATACATGCTAATATGTTTTATGGTAATACAACAATGAACTGTGATGTTGGCTACATACACAGAAATTCACATTACTTACATCAGAGTCCAGAAAGCATGTTGTGTTGGAAGCATACATAAATGTATCCACAAATAGTGGATATAATCTGCCGTGACATGCACGCAGAAACTTTGCATTTATATAAGAGTATAACCAGAATGCAACTAGTTGTGTCGAGTCCCTTATAAGTTATTGCAAAGGGACATATTGTAGATGAGTGGCACTCATCTGCTCATCTCACAGACTCAGACTGACAATCTGTCTGTATTTATAAATGATGTGATATCCCATCCAGTCACCTTGATATTAAAAGTTGCAACAGGTGTTTATAGGTGTTACATGCTCAAAATCACAGTGTATATCCATATCAGGACATTAAAAACTACTACAGTCTTCTGTTCACTTCTAAAGGTGTTCAGTCAATATAAAAGATTTAACCACCAATAAATGTAGCCTTCTGTGTGACCATATATTGTTTCCTTCTACACATGCTGCAGGGAATGGGAGAACTTGTAAGTATTTTCATTTTTAGACACCGTGAGTTGAGCTGAGCGATCGATTTAAAAATGAAACCTGCTGTGACCCAATGTTTCCTGCCTCAGGAACCAGACGGACGTGAGGCGTATGCATACAGCAATGAGGCTCAATGAGGTCATCACGAAGAAGTCCAAGGAGGCAAAACTTGTCCTGCTCAACATGCCGGGACCACCAAAGAACCGTGTGGGCGAAGAAAACTGTATCCTACATCTCACATACTGTTCGTCATATGTCTTAGTTCAGTTCACATCATCATTTTACTTAAGGATAAATTATTCATCTTGCAGTTTCAAAGAAAGTGATTTATAGTAAAAGGAAATTATAATGGGCCAGGCTTTCTGCTTCAGGCTCACTCGTTGACTTTTCTTTAAGCAGATGGTTGAAAGAGGCACAAACATCGTTACTTAGAACTGTAGAAGGAGAATAATATTTGGTGCTGTCAGGAGATAAGGTGGAGGAGGTGCAGACTATAGATCAGGAAGGCCAAAGCTCAGAGCAGGACATAGCTTTCAATGATCCTAGGTAAGGGCAAAATGACAATGTCTGAAGTCCATTATGGAAAAGAAGTAACGTGTAAGCTACAACTCTGGAAGTAAGGGATTTGCTGCATGGCAGTTTATCCCAGGAAAACTAGGTCCCCTTCCAGTATTCTGAATAAAGTCTTTTCTGCCTATTTCAGCCCTCTGTTTCCTGTGATCTGCGTACAAAGAGAACCATATTTGTTACACTGAAAGCTCTAGGATTACCTCGCTAATCCATTAATCTCATTTCATAGTGCACCCCTCAGGAGACCACAGCTTTTGTCTTAGTGTTTTGCTCTTTGTTTAGGTTTGCTTTCAGTCAGTGTTTGGTTAATGTTTGGTATTAAAACTACTTGTCAAGATTTTTTAAAGATCGTGGTTTGGATTAAAGGAAAGATTTTGCCCTGCACTATAAGAATTGACGCTTAGGAGCTCAGTCTGTCCAGTCAGTGATGCTGATTGGTACTGATAAAGGGTCTATACTGTGTGTCTGTTGAGGTCCCAGTATCAAAGGACACTTAGGCATCTCTGACACTCAAGCAACAAAAATTCAGTATATGGTACCCTGGGAATGAGGACATACTGCTTATTTTAATTATTTCTCACTTGAAATAGGAGTCATGCTGCTCGCATCATCGAATCATCATCTTTCTCCCATCTATGTGACCCTTTGACAAGGCATCTGCATGATAAACAAATTATGTTGTAATAAATGAAAGAAAGAATGAACGAAAGCATGAATCTTTGGACTCAAACTAGTAGAAATAAATATATTACTGTAAAAATTACAGAAAAAGTTGTGATAGTTATTGTACAGGCTGTCATAATTATAAAATGGAAAGAAAGCATTTTTCTGTTAGCATGAAGTAAAAGGGTAAGTGGGGTAAAACATCAAGTTAATTTGAAGAATTTTGTTTTTGCACAGCATTGGTGAAAATTGTAGTCTGAGTCCATGTAGTCTGAGCATGATGTAAGCTGCTGCACGTTCCTTAAATATGTAGTCCTTTCACTTCACTAAGATGAAAATGGACCTTTGCGTCACATAAAGTTAGCGAATGACCAGAAGAATATGGAAAGAAAAAAACTCCTTGACTGGATTGTTTCCCAGACATGGAGTTTCTTGAGGTGCTCACTGAAGGTCTCAATCGGGTCCTCCTGGTGCGTGGAGGTGGACGCGAAGTCATCACCATCTACTCTTGAACTGCCTTCATGAGCTCACAACAGCACATACATGGACTCTGCCCTCTCCTCCCTTCTCACACATCCATTCTGTCACCTGCCACCACACGTTGTACTCAGAGTTTTCAGGTGAAATACTATGTAGACTCAGCTGAATGAGGTTCCAGGTAACCTGTAGAGTACATAGTACACAGAATCGTGCACTCCAGTGATTAACTTGAGTACATAGTTGTTATCACCCAGGTCATTGTTCTCGACTCATCAGGTCAAGAACAGTTCAACAGTTTTAGAGATTTTAATTACAAACACAAGAGACAACTGTAAGTTTTCCTGATAAAGTAGAAGTTTGCCAAATATTAAAATCAGCTTTGTAGTCTAAGTGCTTTCCCTTTGGCTTTATGTCATTGCTTTACCACTTCTATTTATTTTCTGTCATGTAGTATTGATGTTATTTATATATTTATTCACATGCCAAGTTGTGTTTTTTCTGGGGTTTTTTCTGTTTTTGTTCCTAGTGTGGTTATAAGTATTTAAAAAAACAGTGGGATCAAATTGATTTGTGACAGGTATGGACTCCTAAAATAGTGTGTTATCTGTGTTATCCTTTGTTTTGTGACATTAGAAGCACTAAAATAGATTATTAAATAAATCAACATTTTATACATTTTTATTTCAGTTTTTTTTTTCATTGTGTGTTTGAGGGAAAAAAGATTTTTAAAGAAAATGTAAAGATTTTAGAGAAGACATATATTTAAAAAGAGCATTTCTAAATGCACACCACATCAAACCTTGAAGGCAGTAGCAGACCACTCCTGGCAGCTAAAAATAGGACACTGAGGCAACAATTTATACAGGGTCACAAAAATTGGACAATACTGGAAAAAAATATCATGTTCTGATGAATCTCAATTTCTGTTTCAACGTTCAAGTGGTAGAGTCAAAATTTGGCATAAACAACAAGAAGGAATGGTTTCATCCTGCCTTGTCTTAATGGTTCAGGCAGCTGGTGGTGCTGTTATACATTTAGGGCCCTTAATATCATTGAACCCCACAGCCTACCTGAGTATTGTTGCTGACCATGTCCATCCCATTATGATCACAGGGTACCCATCCTCTGATGGCTGCTTCCAACGGGAAGTTTAGATCATCTTAAACCGGATTCTTGAATATGACAGTGAGCTCACTGCATTCAGAATCTCCTCACCATCACCAAATCTCAGAACACATTTGCTGGAGCAGAACATTCAAAATCTTTGAGGAACGTTCCCGGTGCCATGCTACATTTATGCCACAAAGAATTGTTACATTCACAGAAGGCTGTTTGCTAGTATTTACCAGACAACCAAGCTAGCAGACTAACTCTCTGTTGGCTTTAATAATTACCTGACAGACAGGAGAACAGCATTGATCTTCTTGTATAGATCTCAGCAAGAGACAAAAAATAAGAGCAGCTCCCAAAATGTTAAACATATGTTTATCAATTAAATTTGCTATTGTGCTTATGCAGGCCAAATGAAAATGTGAAGGAAATAACTGTTATATTAAAAAAGCAGAAAATCTAGAGTGACAAATAGAAGACATATTGAGGAATTGGAGAAGGTACATGTTAAACTTTTAGTATGACTTAGGCATTAAATATCCTGACTATCAGAAGATGGGCATTTTGTGTGTGGCCATGTATATAAAATATATTTAAATCTCTTTGAGTATGCTTTAGTCATTTTAATTATTTAATGGCATAGACATGGAGTTTTTGGTAGAGCTTTTGACTTGTTAAACTCAAACAATTTTGTAAAACTTTAGTAAGATAGGGCCATTTCCCCAGAATGTGCATAGTTTATAATGTCAGTATTGAAACAGTGTTTTCAGCAATGATAGTTCTTTTCTCCAAGTATGTATGTAGGCTATACAGTACACAGAGAATTTGATATTAGTTGAGTTTTTCCTCTTGACCTAATGGTTTTGTACAGTAATTTATACACAAAGACATAAAGAAAATTAGCCTAAGGGTTTCAAAAAGTTGTTTTAGTTCTCCTCTGATTTATTGTAAATATGTTATTGATTCTGTAGCACATCCATAAAACCTCGTAATTACTTTCTGTTTGGTTAATATTGATGCAGTATGACACTAATAAAGTCAATTAAAGTTTGAAAGTGATTGCTTAGAGACAGGCCTGTGCAATCTTGTAATCAAAAGTGACAGTGACCACCCAGAAGTTGAGGGTTTTGCAAGTTCAACCTATACGCAGCCACTTGGTCACTGCAACTATTTGCAATCAGTCGCTGAAAGTAAAAAGTCAATGCAATCACTGGGCATCAAGCAACCAAATGGGTGATGTCCTAGTTTTACTTTAGTGCAACTGATCAGTTACAACTTAACATGCCCAGAGCCAGCACATAATGAAGACCACTCATCTAATTCAGTTTAGTTTCCCTGAGGAATACCATAATAGGAAATTCTTGCTGAGGACTGCATACTGCACAGCCAGTGATTCTTGCTGATGACAATCCTCTCTGTGTGTAAGAGCAGCAATACATTATAGCCAGTCTGAGGTTAAGCCTAAACTTCAATAGCTGCATTTTCTCCATGATAACTTTTTCATTTATCTTTGATTTAGCTAGTGGTTGTTTTCACTGTGTGATAGCAGTGCTTTTTGGCTCAACGAAAACTTGGAAGTGAACAGGATCCAGACAGTCCGCCCTTTTATCAGCCTTTAAGATGAAAATCAGCTTGTGATTTGATTATTGGTTGTTGTTGTTGTTGTTGTTGTTGACTGTGTCAAGATGCAGTGCTAAAAATCTAAGGGTGCATATTTCCATTTCCACCATTGGATAAAATTGCACTCTGTTCCTGCTGACTAAGACTGAACATCAGATATTTTGGAGTAAATATCTAACTATCCAAATTTCAAGGGATGATTAATACTTAACTTTCCTGGCACCTATAATGTTTAACTCCCTAAATAACTTAGCATTTAATAATTACATTTCTGGGAATCTTTGAAACTTAACTTGATTCTCTCTGTCCTCTCTCTGTGCAAAAGCAGCAGTATATTCATTGAAGATATTTTGAGGTGAAACTTAAACTTGATTAGTTTCTCTCCATTATATGGTGGCTGTGTGCATCCTAGTCTAGTGTACACAAGATTTTAAAAAAGAAAGGTTTCAGCTTCAGGGGCTCTGTAGTACAGCCCTCAATGTTTCCAAATCTGAAAAGCATGAGTGCAAAACTATATAATACCTAGCAAAAACAACAAAAACTGAAGTTATTTTTGAGGCATATTACGGTTGCAGGGCATTGTGGGTGACTACAGTATGCAGAAATTTAGAGTTACATTTTTAGAAGTTTCATAAATAGAGAGAGTGTGTAGCTGTGTGTGTGTTTGACACCTGTGTTTGTGTGTAGAGCATGTTGAAGTGTGAGACAGCAACATGACGGGACATTTGTAATACACATCTGTGATTTTAGTTGTAGGGATAACAACTGTCATGTGTCTCAGTACAGGTTTTATAGATTTATAGGCTTAAGACACTTCGTTTTATCTACCATGTGCGCAATCATATCGTGGTTTAAAGAAGAAATTTTGTATGTAAAAACAAAATCAAATGTTGGCACAAGATTAAAGTCATTTTAATAACACAGTTGAAATATTGTCATCTTTTCTAGTGCATCTCCTTTTGGCCAGAGTTCTTATAATTTGGGATTTTCTCCATAGTTTTTAATCCAATTGCATTTTGACTTTTTTGTTTTTAATTCAGTTCAGTTTCGGTTCATTTTCAGTTTAGTTTTCATTGTTTGAAAATGTTTATTTTCGGTCTTTTTAATTAATAATGAGGAGGGCACATATCAAAGGCAAGATTTAATGTATTTCTATAATTTTATGTGGATGCACTCAGACTCCTGGAACAAAAAATTGCAGAACATAAGTCACATCTGGAACATTTTGGCCGTGCACCAGCTGTTGTCCATCAGCTGGATCATGCAAGCAGAATTATCCTTTAATCCTGGAGGGCATGAAAATTTAATTACTTAAAAGAATATTTAATTTACAGAGTGTGACTAGAAGTTAAACATTCTGTGTGTTACACCCGTAACACCGAGACTCACTTTTTTTCACAAATGGGACTTTCAAATAGATTTTTTTTTTCGTCTGTTACAGGGTACACGAAAGCTGTGGGAAAACAGAGGGTTTTCAACACACCGAAGAAAAGAGAATGCTGACTTTGCATGTCTTAATAACGTGAGCAAAGTCCACATAGTGGCATTTCCCGGGGAGGAGAATATTGATGTGTTTCAGTGGGTTTACCAGTGCCTTTGACCTTCCTTATCTAAACAGAGTTAAACCAGGGTGCAAAACAAATGACTGTCACTCGCTCTAAAGAGCTGTCAGCATGAAGAAACAATCGACCAGTCTTCGAGTGCGGTTACCTGTGTTTGTGTTCATCGCAGAGGTGATTATTGTTGCCTTGTATTCAGCATTTGTTACGTATGATGAAGAGGCTGATGCCAAATTTCAGACTAATCAGACCAACCCTATGCACAATGCAGTGTACAGGGACTACCCTTTCTTTATAGACATACACTTCATGATATTCGTGGGTTTCGGGTGCCTGCTGGCATTTTTCCGATTCTATGGTTTTGGGGGGATGGTTTTCAACTTCCTCACAGCTACTTTTGCCATCCAGTGGGCCATTCTGGTGCAGGGCTACTTCCAGTTTAGCCATGATGGTAAGATCCACCTTGGAGTGATCAATCTCATAAATGCAGAGTTTGCCTGTGCTGTGGTGCTGATATCGTATGGGGCAGTGCTAGGGAGGACCAGTCCTTTGCAGATACTGGTTATGGTTCTGCTGGAGGTTCCTGTGTTTGCCGTCACAGAATGGGTTGTGCTTAAGTATCTGAAGATCAATGATGCAGGAGGCTCCATTCTCATCCATCTCTTTGCCTGCTATTTTGGCTTGGGTGTCACTTTTGTGCTGTACAGGCCTAGTCTAAATGAAGGCCACGCAAAGGAGAACACAAGTTACCATTCTGACATCCTGTGTCTAATGGGGACCTTGTTCCTCTGGGTGTTCTGGCCCTCCTTTAACTCAGCTTTAGTCCTGAAAGGAGACGATCAGCACAGGGCTATCCTCCACACTTTCATTGGACTAAGTGCCTCTACACTTACAGCCTTTGCACTCTCTGCTATGCTGAATAAAAATGGCAAGCTTACCATGGCTGATATTCAGAACGTGACCCTGGCTGGAGGTGTGACAGTCGGGGCATCTGTGGATATGATGATATCACCTGTAGCTGCATACGCTCTGGGTGTAATAGGGTGTATTGCATGCATGCTGGGCTACAAGTATTTGAGCCCCATCTTGGCGCGACGTTTGAGGATCCAAGATCAGTGTGGCATTCACAACTTGCATGGACTAACCGGACTTATATCCTGCACTGCAGGGATATGTGCCATACTGACAGCTAGTGAGGAGGTTTACGGCCCTAGTTTCTATGAGATCTTTGCCCACAGAGCACCAGTGGAAGGGGACCCCAAGCTACAAGAGCTACGGATGGTGATTCCCGGTTTAAAGGCAGGTTTGGGGAGGACTGCCCAAAAACAGGCTCTCTTCCAGGTTGCAGCTATATTCTCCACCATAGGACTGTCAGCGCTGGGAGGCATACTCACAGGCTTTCTCTTGAGGCTGCCATATTTTGCATCTCCGTCTGACGATTTCTGTTTTGATGACGAGCCATTTTTTGAAGTTCCTCCTGACTATGATTCACCAGTCAGACTTAAACACAGCAACACAAATAGTGTAGAAGACTCTACTGTGTGATGCTCAGCAGCCAAGGACTGTCAGTGCATTTAACTGGCATGATACAGGAAATATATATAAATGAGGCTATGTTATTGTTTGAGAGTAAAGAAAATTATTGCAATGATTGAAATCTGTGTTATAGTAATTTTTTATTCTTTTTTTATATTAATTTCATTGTAAATTATATTTCACTAGTGATCACAGTGATGATACGGTCCAGCACAGCCTTATATTGATGGTCATTATGTTATTCGTTTCCATGTATGTAAACATTTGAGAAACTGTGTGTTAAAGAGCAAATTAGACATTGTTGTTTTTTCTGCGAACCTTTGTAACCTTTGTAATATTACTAATTAATGGTCTACGGGGGAACAAGATAAACAGCTTAGAGCAGCAGTGTCTATATTTATTAACAGAAACTCACCTGGGGGCCAACATTTCTTCTTGCCTTTTTGAAACATAAATATTGTGCTTTTTTCAATAACAGAAGAGTTCTCATTACTGTGATCATGTGTGTTTAAGCCTTGACAAAACAAATCTACTTTTCATTCACATATGGAGAGAAAATAAGAAGATCAAGCTGTCTGGAATAACTAAAACTTCAGTGAAGCTGCTTAATTTCAGTATCTCGGGCTAAATTTAAAAGAGACTCACTATTCTGTGTATTGTCTGAGCGTATAAAACTTTATACATTCATTGGCTGCACTGCATGGTGCTGCCACTATTAGGTACAAATTAAAATAACACTTTATTAATTCTGTTTGTGATGACAGGCCATAAAGAATACATTTTAACAAAGGAGCGAGAGGCTGTATAAGAGCTGACCGAGGGCCATGATTGATCACCGGGACGGACTTTTGACATGTTCAGTTTAGAGAACACATTAACAATAAGCAACAGAATTGGTATAAAATATTATATATACAATACTATTCAAACAGGGCTGAAAGTAAGTAGTACAGTATTGATATTTTAAAATATTTTAGCAATCATTATCTAGAAAATAGACTTTTAAATATTGATAACTTACACTGAACAAAAATATAAACGCAACACTTTTGTTTTTGCTCCCATTCCCCATGGGATAAACGTAGAGACCTAAAATTCATTCCAGATACACAATATAACCATCCCTCCCAAACAGTGGTCACAAATCAGTCCAAATGTGTGGTAGTGGGCACATCTGCTATATTGAGATAATCCATCCCACCTCACAGGTGTGCCACATCAGGATGCTGATCTGACATCATGAGTAGTGCACAGGTGTACCTCAGACTGCCCACAACAAAAGGCCACCCTGGAATGTGCAGTTTTTTGCGCTATTGGGGGTCTGGGGACCCAGAACCGGTCAGTATCTGGTGTGACCACCATTTGCCTCATGCAGTGCAACACATCGTCGCATGGAGTCTATCAGATTGTCAATTGTGGCCTGTGGAATGTTGGTCCACTCCACTTCAATGGCTGTGCGAGGTTGTTGGATATTCGTGGGAACTGGTACACGCTGTCGTATACGCCGGTCAAGCACATCCCGAACATGCTCAATGGGTGACATGTCCGGTGAGTATGCTGGCCATGCAAGAACTGGGACATTCTCAGCTGCCATCTGCCCTGAACAATGTGAACCATGATTCATCCGTGAAGCGCACACCTCTCCAACGTGCCAGACGCCATCGAATGTGAGCATTTGCCCACACAAGTCTGTTACGGCGACGAGCTGGAGTCAGGTCAAGACCCCGATGAGGACGACGGGCATGCAGTTGAGCGTCCCTGAGACGGTTTCTGACAGTTTGTGCAGAAATTGTTTGGTTGTGCAAACCAATTGTTCCAGCAGCTGTCTGGGTGGCTGGTCTCAGACGATCTTGGAGGTGAACCTGCTGGATGTGGAGGTCCTGGGCTGGTGTGGTTACACGAGGTCTGCGGTTGTGAGGCCGGTTGGATGTGCTGCCATATTCTCTGAAACGCCTGTGGAGACGGCTTATGGTTGAGAAATGAACATTCAATGCACGGGCGACAGATCTGGTTGACATTCCTGCTGTCAGCATGCCAATTGCACGCTCCCTCATTGCTTGTGGCATCTGTGGCATTTTGCTGTGAGACAAAACTGCACATTCCAGGGTGGCCTTTTGTTGTGGGCAGTCTGAGGTACACCTGTGCACTACTCATGATGTCAGATCAGCATCCTGATGTGGCACACCTGTGAGGTGGGATGGATTATCTCAATATAGCAGATGTGCCCACTACCACACATTTGGACTGATTTGTGACCACTGTTTGGGAGGGATGGTTATATTGTGTATCTGGAATGAATTTTAGGTCTCTACGTCCATCCCATGGGGAATGGGAGCAAAAACAAAAGTGTTGCATTTATATTTTTGTTCAGTGTATTTATCTGTAACAGGAAACATTTGGATGTCAACAAAGTTTGGATTTGCTCAGTTTTCACTAGATGGCAACACAGAGCTGTCAAACTGGGTGCTGTGTGCTGTGCTGGTGTCCTGGGCAGTGTTTTACAGGCTAAAGTGAGAATCAATGGTCAGAAGGTTATAAGAAGTCATTCCGTCAGTACTGTAAGTCTAACATCCTGCAGGTGCTAACTTCTATCACAAGCTTAAAATCTTATCCTGCCTAAAAACATACAAGATAATAAATATAGTAGCCTAAAATGAATGGAGTTTAAAATGAGTGGGGTGATATGAAGATGTTTAGCTTAACCATATTATGAAGAAGAAGATTTTAAAGTCGGTAATTTACAAAGTTGACAGTGTTTTGTTTTAATCCTACTGACTTAGACTAAACCTGAGATAGTGACAGGGTAAATGTCTTTCTAAACTCACCAAACGTCTTGGGATAATTAATACTTAACTTTTCTTACATCTAGGCCTTCAAGGTTTAACTATCTAGATAGATGTGTGCATATAATACATAACTAATCACATTTCTATAAATTATTGAATGCACTGAATAATACAATGCTGCTCAGAATTCACAAAGCGGGTAAAGGGCCTCTCGGTTCCAGTAGGTGGCAGCAACGCAGCACCAAACGTTACCGCTGCAGTAAATGCCCATAGCAGAGGAAGAACACGAAGAAGAAGGAAGGAGAGCGGCGAGGTACCAGGCCACGACCTGCAACGGGGACTTCCTTAAACGAGGTTATATAACTTCCGAAATTGTGACTTCATCTTGGCTTTGTATAATCTACAAAGAGAAAGGCGTCGAAGAGGATTCTCTACACCAGAACGTTTTCCGCGATATTTTCACTTTGGCACAACATTTCCTTCAGTTTCACACGGTAACGTCAATGTTTGCTAATGAAGCTCGCTCGCTGCCGCGGAAGCGCGGTTAGCTTTTTAGCCTTATTCGAGCCTAAGCGTTTGTTTTTGTTTTCCACCATAAATATTATCTGGAATCGTGTAAAATACGTCAAAATGGTGGTTGGTTGATTATAGGTTTGCATATCTACAAGCCTGCTGTTATTCATATTATCAAAATGGTCAGCATAAATTCAGTGCGGGCCTTTGAAAGCACGGCCGTGGTGGCTAGTTAGCATTAGCTACGTTTCGGGGTAGACGCGTGCACAACGTTGAGATTTTAGAAAGCTTTGTTGTTCTTCGAGTACAATTAAATATGTTTTTCTTATATTGTCAGTATCAATCGATCATGTAACTGATTGTATGTTGAGCATGTGATACTAATAAGAAAATCTAGGACTCATCGTTACCACGCCGTGTGTATTTGTAGCGTTTACTCTGGGTATTACAGTTTCTCGTGCGCAAACGGATCACTGAAATGTTTTTCTTCCTTTTTCTTTCTTATTGCAGGATCAATATGGCTGATGACTTTGACGTTGAGGCCATGCTGGAGGCTCCATACAGAAAGGTGGGTTTAAAAGTCGGAGAAGTGAGGCCTGTGTTGCTGTTCGGCCTTTTTATTTTTAGACCTTTTATATTTGCTACTGTGACAAAGTTAACTTGAATGTTGTGTGGTGTGAATGAGTATTTAAGACGCAATACAGAATTATAAATAAATCCACATCTATCTCTCTTTATAGACTTCCCTAATGATATCTCACCTCTACTCCCATGAATTCATCTTTGATTCCACTGTGAACTGTGAAAAAAAGGAAGGTAGTTATTGCGCATATACTGATGTACTGTGGTTCACTTTAGGACTAAAAGAGATTCAACCCAGAACATCCAATCCCTATTCGGTTGCTACAAGGTGAATGCCAATGGTTGATAAGCCCATCTTTACTTGTCCAGCAAAGGAGGCAGTATTCAGATTTACAATCTGTATGTTGTCGCTGTTTATGAATGTGCAGGGTTTTTTCAATAAGAGCCTTTTAAATGGAAAACTGTTTTGTATTGTTAAAAATCTCCTCAGTGTGTGTGTGTGATTTCAACATTATTTTTCTGTTATATAGCATTAACAAGTCTAGTCTTTAGCAAGAATCAGTATATAAAGTTGTGCTAAAGTATAATTTCCTCAGGCAGTTGTATTTGTATGTAGTTGTGTCTGTGTCAATCTGTGAGTGGCGTAATTCCTGAAGTTATAATGCAGCAAAATTCTTGAAAATCCAGCGATTGCATTTTTGTCATAGTTCTACAGCAGAATTATCGGTGACAAGTTATTTTTGTCTCGCTGGTAAATATGAATACTGCCTCTTTGCCTTAGCCAACTGTAATGTGAATCAGCATCTTGATTTTTGCATGCTACAGAACACCACAGATATTGATATATTTCTAGAATAACTGTAAAATAGCTACATCTGCCTTTTATTGTATGATAAGATGATTTACTTTCAGTAGTTAATAATTCCTTAAGTCAAAAGGTTGTAAGTATTACTGTAAACTGAAGATGATGGTAGTGTAACACGTGGATGAATTAATCTTTATTTATTTATTTGCTTGGGCGTCAATATTACTAAGAAGTGTGAATCCCTGTTTGCTTCAGGGCAAGATGTGTGACAGAGGTGGCATCGAGCTCTTACAGTCCAAGAACGAAAATGGGTGAAGATCTCTGGACTGACACCAACCACACAGGATCTCTTTTAGTGGCCATGGGCCATGCGTGGTCACATGTTTAGGCACAAATAGTGGCATTGGTACGACCTATTAGAAGGGTATTGGTGGAGATGACCTGACTATTGTCAGCTTCCTGAACTGAGCTAATATGTTGGAAACTCTCCCTTATCTTTGCTTTGTTGCATTAACTATTGAGCAGCTTAGTAAAAGAGGGGGGGGAAAAAAACAAAGGATGGAGTGGGATGGGAAGCTATTGGGGTGGTGGAAGGACACTGTCCAGACATGACTGTAGGAAGTTTGTATTTTTATTAATTGAATATATTCTGCATTTTCTCTTGTCCCACCCCATCCCCTTTACCTTGACGACATGAAATGTTTCATCTACGTCCTCATGATGTTCTTCTATCGACCTTGCTTAGGATGAGAACAAGTCCTCTCATGCAAATGGACACGATGACCAGAGCAAGAAGTAAGTTTTGGTTATCCATCATGTTACCTAAATAGTGCTTAATCAGACGAAGTTCTGCTTTAAAGTGTGTGTACAACAACAGAACTGTTGTAACACTTTACAGGAAAAGGAGGAGTCGGAGCCGAAGCCCGGGCTCCAAGAAGAAGAGGAGCAGAAGCAAAAGCAAAGACAGAAAGAAGACTAAGAAGAGGAGCAAGAGCCGGGAAAGAAAAAGAAGCCGCAGCAGAGAGCGCCATCGCAGCCGCTCCCGAAGCAAAGATCGAGCTGGGCGGTACAGAGCACGCAGGAGTCCGATGTATGTGACCTTTTACGCTTGCTAGTCAGAAAAATATTACATTAACTTTATTGGGTACTGAAATTGTATGATTTTAGGTCTTTTTAATGTTGTTGTACTTAATTGTAATTTTAAGTTGGCTGCTTGTTTATGTGAAAAGAACATGATCCCCCCCCCCCCCATGTAAAATAATTCTTATTTGTTTTTTAGTCGCAAACGTTCCAGAAGTCGGAGCCCCTTCAAAAAAGAAAAGAGCCCCATTAGGTAAGATAAGACAGTCACGTGAGTGGTTTTATGTATGCACACATGTCCTGATTTTTCGTAGGCCTTGACTCACCAAACATTTGAAAATTCAAAATACTGTTACACTCAGCTAGAAAGACATGCATAGCATACAAGCAAAGGAGCAGGTAGCACAGTGCTGCAAATGCATCTTCCTTAACGACAGGCTTTGAATAGTCAAAGACGGACTGTTAAAAAACACCAAAAAGAACACTCTTATGAGGTCCTTCAGTGACTTGCATTGGTATAAGTATTGTCTGTCGGCTCTTCAGTTGCCTACCTTGACAGGCCTAGCAAGCAAAGCTGCCATACCTCTCAAGTTAAACCTGACCTGTCCCTGAGTGTTTGAGTTACTTTAAAAAAAAAAAAAAAGTCCTCCCAGTTCAGCATCAGTTTCCCACATCAGCAGCAGCAATATTAGTGGCCAGAAGTGGTCATCTTTAAAGTCTGTCATCTCGAGGGGTACCAGAACAAAGAAAACATGTGTTCTCCAAATCTTGAAGTTATGGTTTTAGTTTTAGGTTTCTATACTATCACAGCTTTAAAGTTTTAAAATATTTTAAAGCATTTGTTATTGGTTTGTGATTAACATGCACATTTGGTTTTTGTCCTTTTCCTCCTAAGGGCACCAATTGACAATCTAACACCAGAGGAGAGAGATGCCCGCACTGTTTTCTGTATGCAGCTTGCTGCAAGAATCAGAGCTCGGGACCTGGAGGATTTCTTCTCAGCCGTTGGAAAAGTCAGTTGACTTTCAGTTTGTGTAAATTCCAAATGAATGCCATCCAGGAATTTGGCTCTGAAAATGTGACTGTTCTCTCGCTATAGGTTAGAGATGTGAGAATAATCTCTGACAGAAACTCCAGGAGATCGAAGGGGATTGCATACATAGAGTTTGTGGAGTCCTCCTCTGTACCTCTGGCAATTGGATTGACTGGCCAGAGGCTTTTAGGAGTGCCCATTATCGTCCAGGCATCTCAGGTTAGTGTCGTTTCTTTTAGTGGACTTGAATATAGAACAAGTGGATTAGTTCTACTCACTTTGACCGGACATATTAATAGTCAGCTGCCGTGTTGCAAACTCCATACCAAGAACTTTGAGAGGAAAAAAGAAAAAAAAAAACATAATTTCTATCAATTTTAAAAAAACAGACCAGAAAGTGGAAAATAACTTAAAATATTAACAGAACTTAAGTAATTCAGATTGCATTAAAGCAAATGCTGATTCTGCACTAAGGTCCATTATCATTTTGACATTACTTAATGTAATTACACTAAAATTCCTCAATCATGTCATCTCTATTTCTAATTACAGGCAGAGAAGAATAGAGCAGCAGCTGCTGCCAATAATCTGCAGAAGGGCAGTTCAGGTCCGATGCGCCTGTATGTGGGCTCACTGCACTTCAACATTACTGAAGAAATGCTTCGAGGGATTTTTGAGCCCTTTGGAAAGGTCAGGAGAACTCTGCAAATATTAATTTGTTTTAATCTATTTAAGTGAATGTAGTATAATCATCTGTACGTGTGTTTCTTCTTCATAGATTGAAGGAATCCAGCTTATGATGGACAGCGAGACTGGCCGATCCAAAGGATATGGCTTCATATCGGTAAACAAAGCCTTTTGTATGTCTTTGGTAGCTTTTTGTTTGCTGCTGGGTTCACTTTGTAACCTTTTAACTTTCTGAAGTTTGCAGATGCGGAATGTGCAAAAAAGGCATTGGAGCAGCTGAACGGCTTTGAGCTAGCCGGACGGCCAATGAAGGTGGGGCATGTTACAGAGCGCTCAGACTCTTCAACAGCCAGCTCGTTCCTGGATAATGACGAACTAGAAAGGACTGGTATTGACCTAGGGACTACAGGGCGTCTACAGCTGATGGCTCGACTAGCAGAAGGTTTGTAATGGCACTTGGCAGACATATCCATTCCTGGAAAAATTTCTGGTCGTAATAAAAGAGGAAGGAACAGCTTATTAGCAAAGGAATGAGTCAAACCACACGCATACATGTAATATGTAACAGTGTCAGGGTCATTTATTATACTGGAATAAGCCAGAATGAGTGGTTAAGTATTTTTACTTTACACTGACCTAAATTTGGTTTTTCAAACACAATTTTTATAAATGTAAATCTCCAAAATAACATTAATCCTACTTACTGTATTAGCATATGGACAGACAGCAGGGGGCACTAGTAGACCATTTTAGGCAGGAGCTTTAGCCTCCTCATCTTTGCCTTTTTTCTCTACTACCCCATTGTTAAAGTACTGTATAACTACAATTATTTAAACATTATTAAATATATTTTAATGTCCTGCCATGATTCCACATTGTTTGCTTTCCAGAAACGTTAACACTGAGAAGTCCGACTTATTTATTTTAACACGTGAATTATGGTGTGCCATAACTCGCACCATAACTGGAACCAATTTTCACTGCAACGTTCTATGTAACCTGACATGCACCTCCAAGAAATGTAACTACCTGTTAGGTCTGCCCATACCACGATGATTGGCATGGTGCAGGGATAAAAGGAGTTTCCAGTTACAATATCAGTTAGGATGTAGATTTCCTACAGATGTGTAACTCAAAGCTTTAAGCCTGGAAAGAAGGACACAACTTGAGTCACCACATGGCTGTGAAACCTGTTTTTGTTTGTTTTTCCCCCACCAACTACATGTCTTTGGTAGAGGGAAATGACCATGTGAATGAAAGTGATTGTTTCTCTGTCCTCATCAGGCCACACTACATGTCATGCTTCTGCTGCCTTTAAGTGTCTAAAATTAACCCTATGCAAAACAATTTCTTTCTCTCAACAGGGACTGGTCTGAAGATCCCACCTGCTGCTCAGCAGGCTCTACAGATGACTGGCTCCATACCCTTTGGGGGCATTGGCGCTCCAGCAGGTGAGCCTAGATGATGGAAGATATTTAGTATTTGATATGTTTTCTTGCCACAGGTTTAGTGACAACTTTTTTTTTTTTTCTTCCAGCTGTTCCAACCCCAGCTCCAAGCCAAGCTTTGAACCTCCCATCTCAGCCACTGGCCACACACTGCCTTCAGCTGTCCAACCTGTTCAACCCACAAGCGTAAGGACATTATCCTTCAAATAAGTTCACTTTAAGTTTGTCTTAAGCCTTTGCATCCCTGGACTGAGAGCAAAGCATATTGTCAGATGGCTTGTTCAAGTTTTCACTATCAAAGAAGAATCTGACTGTTTTAAATGAGGCATTTAATGTAATTCATTTGTGTTGGAACCAATTTAGTAGAGGTCTGAGTTTTTAACATCGGTGTCCAGTGATTCTTAAGTCATCAATCCTTTAATTCATAATTTTGTTCTACTCTAAACACTTTCGTGTGTTCAAAATACTTCTCTCTTATCCGTAGATCGATTTCTGTTCAAAAATTTGAGACAGAAAATATACACAAGGCAAGTGCTGAACCGAAAACAAGCCAACAACGAAATAATAAACTGGTCACATGCTTGAGCTCTGCAGTGTGCGAGCTGACAAGTCTGTGTGGTCTCAGTTCCTCCTGTCAGTGAAGAAATCTCTTTTGAAATGACTTAACAGAAAAGTAATGGGGAAAAATCCAACTGTGCGTTATTTTTCAGGCTAATTCTGAATTTTGTTTCAATCTGAAAACACAAAAGACGTGCATTCAGCTGGTTTTAAATTTGTGAAACTCATTAAGTTAAAAATCAAGCTTTTTGAGTCAAGCGGAACATTTTACTGGATTTCTAATATTGCTGATTATTTTTGCAGGGAAAATGATCCCAGCTGGGCAGCTGAAATCCAAGATGATGTGATTGAGGAATGCAACAAACACGGTGGAATCGTTCACATTTATGTTGACAAGAACTCTCCTCAAGTAAGTCGAAGATTAAAACGAGATAAATGAGTTTTAACATCACTGAGCTTGTTTTGCAACATTTTTTTTGAAATGCATAAGCAGTAAAGTTGATATCTCTCTTGCTCACATAGGGTAATGTGTATGTGAAGTGTCCCTCGATACCAGCAGCCATGGCAACTGTAAATGCACTTCATGGACGCTGGTTTGCAGGTATGCAGCACTGCTGAAGATGGCAGCTATTAACTAGTTTTTAAGCTGCAAATATCTTAGTTCTAATTCAAGTAAAATTAATTTTCTTTTTTTTTTTAATATTCTTGATCAAACTGTAGGTTCTAATGTTTACATTTGTCTTTCTTTCACAGGTAAAATGATAACAGCTGCCTATGTTCCTTTACCAACCTACCACAACCTTTTCCCTGATTCAGTAACAGCAAAGCAGCTTCTAATGCCGTCACGCCGATAGTCAGAGACAAGCTTCTGAAGTCTGTAAATACATTTGTTTGCATTCATGAAAATGTCATTGAAACATTTGCATTGAAATTAGTTGGCTGTGTGTAATAAAAGTGGCCTCAAGTTCACGTTCACCATTTTGGGGGAATTTTTTTTTTTTTTTTTTTTTGTTTAGTTGCTTTTCAAATTTTTTGTGGGCTTGTGTTGTAAACTACCACTGAGAAGTAATCTGCAGATATCTATTGGTCTACATGTTTTTAAATATTACTGTCATATCTGCTTGTTTAAATTCAGAACTTTTAGATTTCAAATAAAAGTGCAGAGTTAGGAAAAAAAAAAGTGTGTTGGGATGATAGGCCTTAAATGCCAAAAGTACATCGACAATAATCCTTTGTAACTTTATACAGCCATAATTTCATTTTTGTATGAAGGCTCCCAATAAACTTGGCAAATTTGATGGTTCATTTTCTTTTTGTTACCATTTTGGGGAGTTTTCAATGCCAGGTTAATGCCTCTGTGATTAAAGTCCTAATTACAGTATTGGACCAATGTTTTTACTCATTCCCTGCTATATACATGTCCCAAAAACCCACACATGGATGAGGGATACGTCTTTAGACAAGGCACTCTACCACCTAAACAAAATTAAACATACCTAGGGAATTCCCTCTTGGATGGGCAATCAGAAAACTGGTCATGTGAATTTGGGTTAATTTAGCAAGTTGATAACCAGTGTGTGATATTAGCACTATCAAATCTAAATGGAGTGTTTCACAGGTCATATGATGAATCTTCCACAGAAAATGATCCATATGACTGCCACCTACTCTGAGAGACATTATCAGATAATGGTAAAATGATGACTAAAAATCTATAAAGAACAGAAAAATGCAACACTGTTGCAAATAAGACAAATTATCCCGTCTTCCTTCACCCCCTCCAATGACAGGGGTTTTTTCCTGTTAAAAGGGAGGGTTTTTTTCTTCCCACTGTGGCCAAGTTCCTTCTCATAGGGGGTTGTTTGATTGTTCGGGTTTTCTCCACATAAGTGCAGGGTATTTTTTCAATTATAAAGTGCCTTGAGGTGATTATTGTCATGAATTGGCACTAAATAAATAAAACTGAATTGCAGAAACTTATTGATCCAGTGATTCATCACACAGCAGTTTCAAGCTTGAGCACATTTGAGCTCTCTAACTTTAAACTGGATCCATTTAAACATGAAATCTTACTGTCCCACAACCTAATAAAGTAGACGACCTTCAGATCAATTCTCTGAAGATTAAAGTAAAATTGATTTAACAGCTAACCTACAATTCCAATAATGTAAAGAGAATCAACCATAGAAAATTTTTATACATTTTCAAAATTAACAAATGAATACATGCGCATTCCCGTGACAGTTCCCGTATAGTTTGAGCTTCATTCAGTGGTTTTAGTTAGGCACATATAATAATCTGTGAAAATGCGGAAACAGCTGATTTTAAACCGAACCTCTGAACACAACCTACTCCCGACAGTTCCAGTTTTTTTTTTTTACACCGGAGAGTCTGTGCTGTTCAGGTGTTCAAGAGTAAAGGTTAGTCTATGTACAAATTTGTCAGCAACTACACAGTACTTGTTTGCCGATAAAAGAAAAACGAATAAAACAACACAGTTGCGTCTACGAATCAGTACTTACTACTGATTATCAAGGAAACGCAAAGACACTTGACGTAACTGTAAACCTTTAGTCCCGCCTACTCTCCCTGTAGAGGCCCTTCCAGAATCTTCCAGAAATGGTGACGCTATTTTCCGGAGCCTTGATTGGTCAGTAGGCGGTGATTTCATACCTGTTACCAAGAGCCCTCGAGTTACCTCTGTTGTTACCGTTACCATGGCGCTGTAACCCGGTAAGAAAACATCCCAGTACGTTAAACTCCGGGTTAACGTCAACGTTACCTGGATAGGACAAAATGCGGCTTAGTAGAAGGCCTCCAGTGAAATATACAATAGTAATTCTGAACTCTAAATTATGTAAAGCAACGCGAGTAGAATCCCAAAATGAAAACTTTGCACCTAGCAAAACACGTAAACACGTTGGACTTTGACATATTTTGTCCATGTTCGTCATCTGTGTCCTCATGTTTAGCCTGCCGCGGCCGTTGGTTGGTTGAGCCAACCAACTTTAAGTCCAGATTCAAAACCTATTTTTATTCCCTGGCTTTTAACTCTGTAGGAAACTGACACTTTTATTTTATTGTATGTAATGATTTTATGGTATTTTTAATTTGGTTGTTGTTTTGATCTGTGTTGTTCAGCACTTTGGTCTGCCTGGTGTGTTAGTAAAGTGCTATACAAATAAACGATGATGATGATGATGATGATGAGCCGCAACATTACTCTTTGGGCCATATATGGCCAGTCAAACCGTAAGTGGGATGGACCACAAAATATTGCCTTCAAGGCACTTTTTATTGTAGTGTAAATAAGTTCAATTTACACAAAATTACAGAAAAAGCCCGTTACTCAGACCTGGTCCCAGAAGTAAAAAAATAAATAAATAAACTTACTTACACCACCAATTTACTACTAAAAAAGACAAAATGTGATGCAAACATTTAGGCCTGAAATTGATGTATTCCCCAGCCATATATTTGGCACACCTTGCCCAAGATCAAGATCATATTTAATGATACATAAATACTTATTTTTATTTAGCCTCACCGTAGTTTTGCCATTTGCTTATTTCACTATTGCTGTGTATGTTTGCCAACCTTGTGACACATACCACACCTTTTGCTTTCAATGGTACTTCAAAGAATCCAATGCTTCTTTGGGTATGCTACAACAGGAAAGCTTCCTCTTTCTAGCAACAGATGAGATTTATGATGCAGCACCCACACAGGAAGTCATACTTCCCATTTTCCTATCAAAATATGTAGAAATGAGTAGTGAGTCAAGAATTTCGCACACCACTGTATTTACCAACAGGTTATATGTCATTTGGTGGTATTCTGCACTCTCCCCAGTAGTCTCAGGACCTGTCCACTTCACATCGCAAGAGCTTTTTTTTTTTTCCATCCATAAGTCCATCAAGTCGCGGAATGTTATTGACTTCCTGGGTTCTCTGGTCGTCACTTCTTCTGTGGCTGCAACTTAATTCTTAAGAAATGTTATCTTGTAAGCTGCTCTGCTACACAGAGCAGGCCGCTTGTGGAGTGTGCAGGACTGTGTTAAAGGCAGGGCAAAGGTGCTCAGTACACTTTTAAATCCCATTGTAATAATAATAATAATAATAATACACTCTTTTTTAAAAGGACAAATGACACAACACAGATTTAATGCATATATTGGAAACTTTATCATCTAACAAAAGTATTGCAACAACAAAACAGCTTCATCTTCTGTCTCTTTACATCATTGGTTTAATCTTCATAGAACTTTTTCTTTCCCTTTTCCCCCCCAAAGTGTGCTCATTTTTTAATTTCCCCTCCTCCAGAGAATTGTTGATATCTGAAAAAAGAAAAAAAAAAAAAATGTGAGCAAGACAATTTATCCTCCAGTTCATTCTCACTAAAACACAGCCTCTGACATTTCTTTCACAAACTTTACTTGAGAAATTCCGTAAACTGAAGCAGGCGTTCGTATCACTTGGGATCAAGGAATTTAGCATAGGTTTGTATCATCAAACAACACCTACAATTTATGGCAGGTTCATTTCTGCATCAACTGATAGATTTATACTGTCACTGAAGAGAAATACTTGCTAGTGTAAACCTGAACGCTGTATGTTGTAAATTACGGCTGCCATGATTAGTCGACTAGTCACGATTACGTCGACTATCAAAATCATCGACGACTAATTTAATAGTCGACGTGTCGTTTAAAGCTTTGTAAGATCCCAAAAGATGCAGAAGTAGTAGGATTTAAGAGTGTAATAACGGACTGAAACAGAAGATGGCAGCACTGCATGTACAAGGATGCCAGCTGCCGTTAAACCCAGAAGAAGAAGCAGTGTCCGGTGAAGAAGCAGTGTCTGGTATAGTAGCTGTGTCCAAATTCAGGAACTGCATCCTTCTGCACCCACATTTGTAAGCCGATTACGTTACAGCGACACGATGAAGACTGTCCAAATTTGAAGACTCCGACAAAAGCGCCATTCATTTCCCCAGATTTGAAGGATGGGTCTGGTATATACTTCGTGACCCAACCTATCCCAGAATTCATAGCGTGGCCCTGCTCAGTTTCCAACAATGGCAGAAGCTAGTTAGTTTTAATATTACTCTTATTATTCTTTCTGGGTCACAAAATAAACATTTAACATATTTTCAGGCGAGAATGTAGCTGTGTAAACTTCAAATATCTGCTCAGTTTATCAAGACACCACATATTTTCAAAAGCGCTCCGACGTTTTTGGAGACGTCTGTTACCCACCAGTTCGATAGCTAGCCGGGGGCAAGGCTCACTAGAGCCGATGAGAACACCGGACTCCCGGCAAATCGTTTTCAAACCCACCGCCGTCTTTCGCTACTCAAGTTAACAATGATATACAAGTCACTTGGATAACTTAAAAATGTTATTGTTTGGATTTTTTCAGTATTTTATTTGTTCCTGAGTAAATCGGTTTGGCTGAGATTAAAGTTACAGTTTTTACACAGCTGAATAAACCTCAAGCAGACAACTGATTATCAGAAGTGTGAGATGCTCAAGAATATACTCCAGTGTCCTGTTATATTTTAGATAGCAAGGAGCAGACGGCTGAGATTATTAAACTTCACCGAAACAATCTGCAAATTTCATTAAATTTTAATAAACTCTCATCTTGTCTTTATTTTTAGTTAGCACATACCTTAAACACTTAAAGCTGTAAGCTAATGATAGTTATATAAGAGCAGATGCATGCTGGTGCAATAAGCTGTACGTTTTACATCCAATGGATGCATGATCTGATTAGTCGGCTAATCGTAAAAATAATCTGTGACTATTCGACTATCAAAATAATCGTTTGTGGCAGCCCTATTATAAATATAATGGTGCAGAGAAACAAAAGACGTCGTTGCTGACCTTTAAGGCCTCTTCACTGCTTAGGAGAATGTTCCTTCGCCTGGTGAGCCTGCAAGACTGCAATCGCCTCATCCACCTGACCCAAACAGTGGAAAGTTTTAAAAAAAAAGGGGAGGAAAAAAAACAAACTGAAACAACAGACCTCTTTCATAAATGGCAGGCAACAGCCAGAAAAGTGTTATACTAGGACAAAGACTGGAAATGCAAAAATATCTTGCTTGGCAGTCTTCTTTATGCGATAAAAATCAATTTACCGTAACTCTAAGGCTTACCAAGCATCGA